GGTGAGTTTTGGCTTGTTTGTAGTTGTTTTAATTTCTGTTAAAAGAATGAGAGTAAAATCACTTACTTGGATATAAAAGTGAGCTAAGTTTGTCCAAATATAAGGAAAAGTACCTAATGTGTCCACTGTATGCCTCTAAGCTTTCACTTAGATTTTCACTTCTAAGTTACTGGTCTCTTGCAAGTGCCTGAAGTTTTTATTGAATGGTCGAATGTCTCATACCTATAATCCTAGCTACTGAGGAGGCAGAGAAAGGAAGTTTAATGAAAACATGGCTGCATGTGGAAGAACAGGAGCTCAGTGATCCTGTCTGTTTTCATGATGTGTTGACATGCTCTTATATAGGGAGAACATGAAGAAGGGATAAAATGCATGCATAGCTCCTAGATCTTGGATTATCATTATCTGAGGGTTAGCTGGGGTGGAGGATAGTTGGTGGTAAGTTGTTGTCAGGATAAAAAAAGTCATAGTCTTACAGATTCACTCAAATCACAAGATAATTATCTATTAGTTTCTGGAATCCAGTGTGACTACAGGAAATACTCAAGAGGACAAAATTGAGTATGGTTTTGTTACTGGTGCCCTCCTTCAAATCCTCACTATCAAGTCCTCCACCATTTGCAGATTAAAGGGTTAAAGGCCAAGATAATTTTCCTCACTGTTTGCTGCTGATAGGGGGAACTCTAAGAATCTTAAAGGATATGACAACTTAAACAGGACTTCAAACATTCACACAATGAGACCTAAGGAGGATATTCTTAGGAGAGGATCACAAAGATTCAATAGCTATATGCCTAAGATCATATAAAATTATGTTTATCAACATGAACTGCAAGAAATGTAAACAAGAGGCTTTTTATTTTACTTTTTGTGTGTGTTTCTCTGTTTTTCCCGTTTTATCACTGTTCCTGATTTCTGTACTTTTGTCTTGTATGTAAGTTCATCTGTTTGGGGAAGCAGAAAAATGGTGGGACAAAGGGTGAACAAATGCAGCCATGATACTCCCTAGACACCATGTTGAAAATGAACTATACAACTTGTTGGGGAGGGAGGCTTGGAGAGAAAAAATAGGAGAAAATGAGGGAAGGGGTGACACTGTTCAAAAAGAAATGTATTCATTACCTGACTTATACAATTGTAACCCCTCTGCATATCAACTTTACAATAAAAATTTTAAAAATATTTTCTTAAAAAAGATTCTTAAAGAGGAAAATCTTGAAAGAATCAAAAAGCTGTTTCCTCTGCCTATTTAGGGAATAAGAAAAGTTAGATATCAGTTCTTAAACAGATTATCCTTGAGTGATTAATGTGCCCATATGTTGTTTTACAGTTTTATTACTGTACATTAGTTGCACAAAATAGCTTCATGGTGGCATATTTCCATATATGTATACAATATACGCTGATCAAATTCACCCAATTACTCCTCTTCATTCCCTCACCACTCTTTAAAACAATTTCAACAAATTTCATTGTTCTACATGTGTATAAAATACTTCCATCGGCCAGGTGCTGGTTCTGTAATCCTAACAACTCAGGAGGCTGAGATCTGAGGATCACAGTTCAAAGCCAGCCTGGGCAGGGAAGTCAATGAGACTCTTACCTTCAATTAACTACCAAAAACTCAGAAGTAGAGCTGTGGCTCAAATTAATAGAGCTCTATCCTTAAGCAAAAACAGAGCTCAGGAACAGTGTCCAAGCCTTGAGTTCAAGCCCCACAACTGACCAAAACCAAACCAAAAACCTTGTACCATATACTTACTCCCTTCTCTTTTACCCTCCCATCCCACTGGTAACATCCGTTACCTGTTGTACATTCCTTTTTCCCCCCCTTTCTTCTAAGGCCCTGGATACTGTCCTTGAGCTGTTTTTACTCAAGTGTAGTACTCCACCACTTGAGCACAGCTCCACTTCTGGCTTTTTTGGTGGTTAAGTGGAGATGATATTCTCACAGACTTCCCTTCCTGGGCTGGCTTCAAACAAGAATCCTTAGATCTTAGCCTCTTGTGTAGCTAGGATTACGGGAGAGCCACTGGCACCCAGCTTCCCATCATTTACTTTTAAGGACTAGATTCTGTATATGGGAGAGAATATTCCATATTTACTTTCTTAGTTTGGTTTATGTTACTTAGCATGATGATCTAATTTCACCTATTTTCCTGAAAATGGCATGATTTCATTCATTATGGCTAACTAATACTCCATTGTACCACATTTTATCCACTCATTGGTTGATGAACACCCAGACTGATTTCTGTAATTTTTGTGAATAGTGATGCACTGGATATAGACATGCAATTATCTCACTTGGATGCGAGTTACATTCCTTAGGGTATGTCCAGGAATGGTATAGCAGGATCATGTGGTAGTTCAATCATTGGTTTTCCTAAGGAAACTTCGTATTGATTTTCATAGTGGCTGCACTAATTTACATTCCCACCAGCATTGGGTTCTACTTTCTCCCACATCCTTGCCAGCATTTGTTGTTTGTTTTCTTTTTTTTGGGGGGGGGTTCAGTCATGGGGCCTGAATTCTGGGCTTGGGCACAACTCAAGGCTAGCACTCTACCACCTGAGCCACAGCACCACTTCCAGCTTTTTTCTTTTTGCTTATGTGGTGCTGAGGACTTGAACCCAGGGCCTCATGCATGCAAAGCAAGCGCTCTACCACTGAGCCACCTTCCCAGCCCTGTTGTTTGTTTTCTTAATGATGGCCATTCTGACTGGGGTGAGACAGAGTCTTGATGATGTTTTGTTGTATTTCTTTTACATCTAAGGTTGTTGAAGATTTCTTCACATATTAATTAGACATTTGTTAAAGAGACTGTCTTTTCTCCAACATGTTTTTGATGCATTTGTCAAAGAATAGATGGCTGGAGTTGTTTGGGTTGATTTCTGAGCCTTTTATTCCATTCCATTATGGAAGGAAAGTTCTTGAGACTCAAAAAGCTGGAAGTAGAACTGTGGCTCAAGTGGTAGAACACTAGCCTTGAGCAAAAAGCTAAGGGACAGTGTCTAGGCCCCGAGTTCAAGCCCTAGAACTAGCATCCCCCCCCACCCAAAAAGTGGACAAAATGGAGCAAAACGATATCAAAAGGGCACAAAGTCTGAAGAACAACAATCTATGTTGCTGTTCATGTTTTTTCTATTTCCTTACTGTTTTTTCCTTCTCCACATTCATTCTAGTTTTATCCAGTGAACAAAATTTAGTTTCTTCTGTAGGGGCTATACCTTCTGCACTGCTGCTGCTTAGTCTTCCCTAAGGGCTACTGTGAGTCACAAGACAGAAGCCTATTTGAGATGATTCTTCACTGAGCTACACAGATTCCAGAATAACATTAATCCTATCTTTTCAAATATTAGTTTGTCTTCTAGCTCTATAAGTAGACCGGCATTCCCTTTTTGCTTAAATTAGCTAAAGAAACATTTCTGTTGCTTGGAACCAAAGATATCCAACTGATAAAAAGTAAGTGGCCCTGGGGCTGGGAAGGTGGCTCAGTGGTAGAGCGCTTGCCTTGCATGCCTGAGGCCCTGGGTTCAATTCCTCAGCACCACATAACCAAAAAGAAAAAAGCCAGAAGTGGCGCTGTGGCTCAAGTGGTAGAGCGCTAGCCTTGAGCTGAAGAGCTGAGGGACAGTGCCCAGGCCCAGAGTTCAGGCCCCACAACCACAAAAAAAAAAAAAGTAAGTGGCCCAAGAAAGGCCAAAGAAAGTTTTTGTTGAAGGTAGCCTAAAATTTGGACACTTTAAGTGAACATATATTAAAGGGTGTCAAAATTGCTGGCTACAGTACAACGATGAATCAACTTCATGTTTCTATATTCTGGCAGTTATTAGAATTGTACTGATCAAGCTGATAATGTTTTTTCTTTCTATTTTTTTCTTTTTTTGGATCCGGCCGTGGGGCCTGAACTCTGGGCCTGGGCACTGTCCCTCAGCTCTTCAGCTCAAGACTAGTGCTCTACCACTTGAGCCACAGCGCCACTTCTGGCTTTTTTCTTTTTGCTTATGTGGCGCTGATGCATCAAACCCAGGGCCTCATGCATGCAAGGCAAGCACTCTACCACTGAGCCACTTTCCCAGCCCCAAGCTGATAATGTTTTTATGACTATAAACATTAGAGTTCATTCACGTATCTTCCATGTTAGAAATAACCTAAATGAGAATGAATGAAACAAGTAAGGCACTACAGGCTCCAGGAAAAATAAAACAAAATAATCGAGGAAGGGTGCTGCTCTCAGCAAATGATTTACATTACACTAAAGTAGATTGTATAGTTTATTGACATTTAGCCACAAAATTCCAGTTGTGAAACAGTTGTACTAGATAAGCCAGATGCAGAAAAAATTTAAAGAATATGATACCCTAAGTAGATCTCACAAGGAGGGTTATATTAGAGCACCATGTCGGATGTTCTTAATAAATCTCTTAAAATTCAGAGCAACTGCACATATGACTGATGCAAACAAATCAACCTGACAGTAAGTAATCTGTTAAGAAATTAATTTTTGAGCCGGGCGCTGGTGGCTCACGCCTGTAATCCTAGCTACTCAGGAGGCTGAGATCTGAGGATCGAGGTTCAAAGCCAGCCCGGGCAGGAGAGACCATGAGACTCCTATCTCCAATAAACCACCAGAAAACCAGAAGTGGCGCTGTAGCTCAAGTGGTAGAGCGCTCGCCTTGAGCTGAAGAGCTGAGGGACAGCGCCCAGGTCCAGAGTTCAAGCCCCACGATCGACAAAAAAAAAAAGAAATTAATTTTTGGCTAATTGTTCCTTCTTTTAAAGATAAGGTCTTATGGCCCAAGGAGACAAACTCATTTTTTTTGTTTGTTTCTTTTTTTGGGGTCCGGTCATGGGGCCTGAACTCTGGGCCTGGGCACTGTCCCTCAGCTCTTCAGCTCAAGGCTAGTGCTCTACCACTTGAGCCGCAGCACCACTTCTGGCTTTTTTCTTTTTGCTTATGTGGTGCTGAGGAATCGTACCCAGGGCCTCATGCATGCAAAGCAAGCACTCTACCACTGAGCCAACTTCCCAGCCCCCAAACTTATTTGTTTAAAGATCACACGGAAAGACAGATTTTTAGACATTGTTCAGATAAGGGAATCTCTCTTTTTGTAAGCAAACAGCAGAAAATTTCATTTCTGTTCACCTGAAATTTAGCAATATAACCTACAGAAACAGTTTAAGACTCTCTTTAAAAATATTACCTTGAGTCCTTTGGGGGGCATATGTTATAACTTTTGAAAATATTAAAATTAATAAGGTAAAGTTACATCCAGAGGATAGTTTATATGCTATTAAACCACCTAATATTTATTTTTAACATTCAGTATTTTTTTCAAATATGTGAATGGAGCAGATCCAGATTATTTGGTGAACCCCCTCTGCTACAAGTTAGTAACACAGGGTTACTCAGCTTTAGCAGTACTTGTATTTGGGGCAAGACAATTCGTTGCTGTAAGGGGATGTCTTGGTATAGGTTGTTTGGCAGCACTGGCCTCTACCCACTTGATGCAATAGCATCCTCAGTCATCCAATCAAATATCCCCCGGGGCAGGGAAGGACTGAAAATCACAACAAATATAACTGCCAGCTATTTGACTCCACTGTAGAGTCAACTGTGATTTAAACTAGCATTACATTTCAATTTTAATACAAATATATATTGTGACTAGAACTAAGTTAAATTAATTGCATCAACTTCTGTCTTCAAATGAGGTGTCTAATACAACAGCCACGTACCCATATGTTAATGAGCATTTCAAATACAGCTATTCTGTAGTAAGAAACAGCAAGTATATGTCAAATATACACTGTATTTTGAAGATGTAGTAAAAAGAAAAAAATAAGAAAAGAAAAAGTAAATCCCTGAAAGCTTTATTTATTTGGGGTATACTAACTAGGTCAAATTTATTTCACCTGCTCTTTTATACTTTTTTTTTAGCTACCTGAAAAATTCATGTATGTAACTTCCATTGTAATGCTGTTAAAGGGCACTTGTCTAGAAACTTCATGTGATTTAGTATTAGTTCTTAATAAATAAATTATTGAGTCTCTCAATTAAGCCAAATAGAAAAAGGATAGCCCTTTGTAAATAGTTCATAACTCTTTATCATGCCTAAGTGATTTTTCTGTTTCTTTAAACCAGTTATTTCTATTCCAATGTTTTATTCTCAGTGTTTCAGTGGGCTCTTTTTTGACTGCTGATTTGTCTTCATGTCCCTTACCACTATCAAGCACATCTCCTTCTTTTAGACACTCAGGAACTTTCTTGGTGGGATGCTGCTGCAAGGTTTCAGCATCCATCATACTTAGAAAATCATAGGCTGGAAGAGGAGGCTTCCACTTCTGAGCAGATAAAGTTGCTGGAGGAAGATACAACCAAGAGTTAATGATTAACAGTTATAAATAGTCACATAAATATACTAGAAAATGTTCTATAAAATGTAATCACATAACTATACCGTGAAAATTATCCGTAAAGTTTACCTGTGGGCAAGAGGACCTTGTTAGTCTTAAGCAAAGCTAAGTATTTTAAGGAAATGATGTCATTTTTAGTTATTTTCATTTGTTATATTATATTCATACTCAGAAATAAATACGATTGGAGAGAAAGGAAAGATCTTACTACTTACCAACCTTTACATAAATTAAAATAAAAAGTCTTGGGGGAGGAGAGTGAGAGAAGGGATAGTATGAATAAAACAAAGGAGGGGGTAACAATGTTTGACAAGACATGTACTCATTACCTTACTCATGACTGTAACTCCTCTATACAACATCTTTACAATAAAATAAAAAATTTTAGAAAGTCTGCTTTTCTACTCCAGTCTCAACTGCTCCTCCAAATGTAACTCACTCTTTTTTATACATATTTTATTGTAAAGATACTGTACAGGGGGGTTACAGTTACATGAGTAAGGTAATGAGTACATTTCCTACACTGTTACCCTCTTCTTTGTTTTCCCCTACCATTCCTTCCCTCCCTGTCTCCCCAACTCCCCAATCCCCAAGTTGTAAAATTCATTTTCAACATAGTGTCTTGTAACTCACTCTTATAATCATTCAGGAAAAAAACTTTCATAACATAGTTATTATTTCACTTTTATACAAATATTTCTTTAAAGCATTTTCAATTTTTTTGGTGCTGTGTATGCGTGCTGGTACTAAGCCTTGAAGGCAGGGCCTTGCACTCTCTTGGCTTTTCTGTTCAAAGCTTCTGTTTTACATATGAGCCACAGCTCCACTTCTGGCTTTTTCCTGGCTAATTGGAGATTAGAGCTTCATGAGTTTTCTGCCCAACTAGCTTCAAACTGCCATCCACCTGTCTCAGCCTTCTGAGTAGCTAGGATTACAAGTATGACCCACTGGAGCCTGGCTAGCATTTTCTGATTTTGAAGGTTTCATTTGATTAATAACCTTCCTACAGACTATAAATAATTACAAACAACAAATAATTTTAAATTGCTGTGTAGCCAACTATACTACAGACAGTAATTGGATCACGAGCTTTATGGCAATAAATCTTAATATTATTTTGAAGTATTTGTCATTAGAAAGAAGAAAAACTACATTGGCATTGTAGTTCATGCCTATAATCCTTGTTAATTGGAAAGCTGAGAATGGAAAAATCATGGTTTGAGGCCAGCCTGGAGAAAAAGCTGGGCACCATTATGTGCCTGTCTTCCCAGCTATACAGGAAGCATAAGCAGGAGGATCTTGTTCTGTGATGACCTGGGCATTAAAAAAAATATTCAAAAAATATTCAAGCCATAACAAAGACAAAAAGGTTTGGTGGAATGGCTCAGTGGCAGAGTGCCTGCCTGGTAAGTGCAAAACTTTGAGTTCAAACTTTAGTATGTCGAAACAAAGGGGAAAAAAAAGAAAAACTGATTAGAGCTGACAAACATATATGAGATAAATAACCATTCTCTACCTAGTAGATGGATTTTACAAAATAGTTTAAGTTGGCTCATTTAAAATACTATTTGGAGACATAAGCAATATAAGGAAATATTCAAATTACAACTTTAAAAAATAAAAGTTTTACAAGCCAAGAAAGTGCTCATAAAATACAAACTTGAGATTTTATAAAGCAAATACATATTTTAAAGCCTTAGAAAATATGAGTAAACTTCAATTATCTAGAACAGAAAATCTGCTTATGTACATTTAAAGTATCCCTACACTTACTGACATAATTTCTTCATTCAGACTGATTCATATGAAATCTCAGCACCTGTTATATCAACACAATACTAAATTTAGATTATCCATAGTACTGATGTTTCAAATTAGGGTTTCTGGGTTAGCAGATTCAGAAGTGACAATGAGCAGAGCACCAGTGGCTCATGCCTATTATCCCAGTTACTCAGGAGGCTGAGATCTGAAGATTAGGATTCAAAGCCAGTATGGGCAAAAAAAAAGTCCGTGAGAGTCTTATCTCCAAATAACCAGCAAAAAGCCAGAAGTGGAAGTATGATTCAAGTAGTAGGTGAGTGAAAAAGTCAAGAGAGAGTATAAGGTCCTGAGTGCAAGCCCCAGCATTGGCCCCCAAAAGAAAGACAATAGAAAAGAATAATGAAAGGGGTGGCATTGATCAAGGTGCATTATAGTTATAAACTTTGATTTGTTGAATTGAAACCCCTTAGTATTTTTAAGTAAATTTAAAAAGTGACAAATGAAAATTTTCTAAATATACTGAATAAGGACAGGGTGAGAACAGCTATAGTCTGAACTATAGCTATATGTATATGAAAATATCTTTAAGAAGAGTATAGTTAAAGGGGTAGCAGATATTTAGCAATATTTATCTTATTTAGCATTCTAATTATGCTAATTATTCTAATATTTAGCATTATTCTAATATTTATTCTATATATTTATAGGTATTTATAGATATTTATATATTTATATATTTTTATATATTTATAGATAATATATTAATATATTTATTATTCTAATATTTAGCATTCTAATTATGCTAATTACTTGATGAGGGAACTCTACAAAGGTCATACTATCAACTGCAAATAAAACTGTACTTTAACCATGGTGTTAAATACCTTATTCATCAAGTTACTACTAATAAAGAATAACAGCTAACATTTATTGAGCCTTTCCTATATGCCAGGCCTTACTCACTTAATCTTTACAATAACCGAAGCACAATTATTTCCCCAATTTTGTAGATGAGAAGATGAAGACATAAAAAAGTCGGGGAACTGGACCAAAGTGTAAATCTCAACTAGGAGGAGGCTGTGGGCACACCTTACTTGCAACATGTAAGTTGAGGAAAACATCCATGACACTGTGGAACAGTGAGTCGTTCCCAGAATGTGGCTATAACCTGCTGCATCTCTTTTTCCCTAACTCCATGCACTGCTGTCAGTGAAGATCTGTCCAACGGGTGGTGAATGCAGATCCCCTCGCATAGAAGGGAGCACTCAACACGCAGAAGGGCAAGGCAGATTTCTCCTTCCCTGCTGTACACTGATCTTGGCAGAGATTATTTTAAATATGACCCAGAAGCACAGACCATAAAAACAAGACAAATGGAATTTTTAAAAATACTCAAAAAGCTTCTGCACAGAAAAGGAAATGAATGAATCAAAAGAATTAAGAAACTGTACATATTTGTAAATAGATACATATTTGTAAATCATACATCTCATAAGGGGTGAATATATAGACTATGGAGGAAACTCAAACTACTCAATAGCAAAACAACCTAATTAAAATATGGGCAAAGGACCTGAGTAGATGTTTTTCTAAGGAAGATAGTAAAGCTAATAGGTATATCAAAAGGTTCTCAACTCCACTAATCATCAGAGAAATGAAAATTAAAAATAAACTGAGATATCATCTAATACTATAAAAATATATTTTATTTTTTTAAAAAAGATAAAGTGAGATTGTGGAGAAAAGAAAATCTTTGTATGTATGATGGAAATGTAAAATAGTTCAGCTATAGTATGTCAGTTCTTTCAATTAAAAGTACTACTAGTATATGATCCAGCAATCCCACTACTGAAGATACATCCAAAGAAACTGAAATCAGTATGTCAAGGAGATACAGGCACTCCCACAATCATGGTAGCATTATTCACAATAGACATGAGTTGAAATCAGTCTGTGTCTATCAAAGGATGTGTGGTATATATACACAGTGGAATGCTATTCAGCCTTAGAAAAAAAGGAAGTACCTTCATTTGTGAAAAATAGGGATAAAGCTGAAGAACATTATGTTCAGTAAAATAAGCCAGGTATAGAAAGACAAATACCATATGATCTCATTTATATGAAAAATCTAATACAATCGATCAGGTGAAGTGGTGCACACTTGCAATCCTAGCACTTGAGAGGTAGAAGCAGGAGTTTGTGAGTTTTAAACTAGCTATAAAACAAATAAATAAAATAATAAAACATACAGATGAAGAGTGCAGAATGGTGGTTACCAGGGGTTTGGGGTGAGGGATAGGAAAAGGAGAGATGTTGGTCGAAGAGAACAAAGTTTGCTACATGGGAGGAGTAAGTTCTGGAGATCTGCTGAACAGCATGATGACCATACTAAACCACAATGTCTTGTAAGTTGAAAATACTAATATAGATTTTAATGTTCTCATCACAAATAATGGTAAATATATGAGGTACAGATTTGCTATTTAGCTTGACTGAATTACTGTACAATGTGTCTCCTTTACTGGTTAATTGTGACTTTAGCTACCTAACTCTTCTACAGATATTTCATACCATTCTTGTGAGGATTAAAAGATAATGATAAATCATTTAGCATTGTGGTAGACACAAAACATTTGATAAGTGTTACTATCATTAAATTTAATGAAATGTAATATAATTATTTTCTGTGGGCAATACCTGTCACATAGGCTTCTTGTAAGAATTAGTTAAAACAGTTAATAAAGCACATTTTACTAGTTATTACTATAATTATTAAAGTCATACCAGCCAGGCACCAGTGGCTCATATCTGGTAATCCTAACTACTCAAGAGGCTGAGATTTGAGGAATGTGGTTCAAAGCCAGCCCAGGCAGGAAAAGTCCGTGACTCTTATCTCCAAATAAAATAGAAAAAACTGGAAGTAAAGCTGTGGCTCAAGTGGTGGAACACTAGCCTTGACCGAAATGAAGCTCAAGAACAGTGCCCAGGCCCTGAATTCAAGGCCCAGGAACAGCCAAAAAAGAGAAAGACACAATCATGGCTTTTAAAATACTACTGCATTAGTTTACATATATAGAATTAGACAGAAAACCACAAAGTTGAGATAAAAATCACTGCAAACTTGATTATTACCTAACAATACTAGAAACTTTATAGACTGTTAATTACATGGTTACTTGGAGATCCAATAAAACAAGTGAAATCATACACTGACACTTCAGGCACTTGGTTAAGAATAGAAGCTCTGGGGTTACACTGTAGCGTTTGAATTCCTACTCTGGTATTTATTAAGTGAATAACCTTTGACAGGCTACTCTGTCTCTATTTTCTCATCTGAAAAAAAATAGTATAATGATAACATCGTGAACTCAGGGAGTTATAAAACTAAATCAGATAATCACTGAAATTTAATTAGTACTATGCCTGGAAAAGAGTGCATACTCAATAAATACTGGCTGTTATTTTTAATGTCACAGTAACTTCCTTTGAAATAACTTGTCTATAATGTAAAAGCCATGCATACCATAACCAAAAGGTAGACCTATCTGACTGGTAAAAACAATAAATGGCAAGAGAGAAACTGAAAAGATAGCTTCAGTTTAAGAGCCATATTTTTAGAATATTTAGAACCAGACTTTCATTTAATAGTAATGTACCATTCCTTAGATGTTTTCACCTTCTATCAAACCATATATCTGCTTTTACTTACAGAAAGAAGACAAACTGGCATATATATATATATATATATACACATATATATATGACCACATGAGAACTGTCTTAAGAAAGCCACAATTCTGTTTTATTTAGAAAAAAAGTAGAGCGCAAAGGATTTAGTTATGCTTTAATATGTTAATGTTCCACTGTACATTTTTTTATATTTGAATTTAGGACTTTGCACTTGCTGAGCCACATCCCTACCCTGATTTTCTTTTCTTTTCTTTCTTTTTTTTGGAAGTATTGGAGTTTAAACTCAGTGCCTCATGCTTGCTCAGCTAGCACTCCACCACTTGAGCCAGGCTGTTAGCCCTGGTTTTTGTTGGATATTTTGGAGATGGTTGTGTAATGGACTTTTTCTGCCTGGACTGATTTCCAATGGTGATCTTCTGGATCTTAGCCTCCTGAGTAGCTAGAATTACAAGGCATGACCTGCTGGTGCTGTTTTTCCAGCCCTGATTTTTTTTTCTTTCTATTTTTCCGATAGGACTACTTCCTTCCTGTTAGGTCTTCCCCGGGAAGGGGAGAAAATGGCCCCTTACCTTGTTCTCCCTCCGTGGCCCCTTCCCTATAAGTCCCCACCCAACATCTGTGTGGCCCAGGTAGTGTGCACCTGGGGGCAGTGGGAGGTCCCCCAGGCTCTGAGGTCACCACTGTGGCCACACTTCCTCCCCCACCTTTCCCTACATAGTCAATCTCCATCAACAGTTCCGCACCTTGTCCCCTCTCCCTCTCCCTTTTTCTTTCCCTTCCCCTACAACCCTTGCACCCCCTGCACCCTCCATCGGGTGCAGCCAACATATGCTCTACCCCCAATAAACTCCTTTCTACCTGAACCATGTGGTGGTCGCCTTTCAGTGAACCGTATACTTCCCAGGCATACACCTGGACCACAATCTATGCATTTTAGGGTTTCCCATCATATACAAATGACAGATATGTGCTATCATACAGATTCTTCTGCTAAAATGGTATCTTGTGGACTTTTCTGCTCAGGTAGCTCTCAAACAATAATCTTCCTGATGTCAGCTTCCCACACAGTTAGGTTAGAATAACAGACATCACGACTGTACCCTGCTGTGAGTTAAGAAGGGGTCTTGTGAGCATTTCTCTTGGGCAAGCCTAAAAGCATAATCCTTTCATTCTGTTTCTCAGGCAGCTGAGCATACATAAGCAACTGATACCCGGCTTCAATTTTTTCAACTAAATTAAAAATACTGGCAATCTACAGAAGCAGTATGGACTCTAAATTAACATTCCAAACAAAGAGGCCTGTAGACCAGCTAATTGTTCTTATCCCTGTTAGACCTTGTATGTTAGTCTTTAAAATTAGAGATTATCCCATGGACAGTATAATCAACATATTAATATTTAGGATATTTCTAAACATTAAAATTATTCTAGTATCTGTTAGCTACAATTAAAGTTTAAAATCTATGTGACAAAATACAGAATTGTGTGTATTAAATAAAACAGAAAACTTACTGATATGATGTTCTAGCCCTGCTTCTAGTTTCTTAAGCCACAATATAAGGCTGTGTTCAGTTATTGACTGGTCTGAAGGAAATGCAAATACATGGCCATCTGAATGAAGATTCACCAAAACAAGAACAGGGAGGGTAGGCAAAGGACCAAAATATGCCTGCAGGACTCCTTTCCCCACAGGAGTATTCTTTCTACAAAAAGAAACAATAGATCATATTCATGATTCTTTCCATAACAAAATAAATAATAGTTTATAAAACATTAACTTGAATTACCATGCCAGTAAGTTTGCTTTATAAAAAGGCATCCTAAAAACCATGAAGTCTATCACTGTGTTAGCAATGAAATTCTTAAAAAGTTGAACATGAGCTAGTCTTTCTTAGGAGAAAAAAAGGCAACTAATAACAGTTTTCATAAAGCACATACATAGCCCAAAGGTTAGTCAGCTTAGGCTTGACATAATCAATAGATTCCTCTCTAGATAAAATGTCAGTACAAAATTAACTGGTTATATAATCATAACATAGATAACAGAATGCTTGTTTACATAAATATCTCTTTTCTAATATGGTGTCTGTCTTCATGAAAAAGAAGGGATTAAAATAGTTATGTTCCCACAAGAAAAAAAAATTCAGGCTCATGCCTGTAATTTTAACTACTCAGGAGGCTAAAATCTGAGGATCTCATTTCAAAGCCAGCCCAGGCATATGACTCCATGAAATTCCCATCTCCCAATACCCAGTAAAAAGCTAGAAGTGGAGATATGGCTCAAGTGGTATAGTGCCAGCTATGAGTAAAAGCCAAGTGAGAAAGGCCTGGATCCAGTTCAAGCACCTAGTACCAGAACAAACAACAACAACCAAAAAAAAAAAAACTAGTTTGCCCAAGGCAGTAAATTTTCCATTATATAAAACAGAATTCTTAGATAGCTGTAATAATAATTACCTGGGAAATTTTTGCCTCAAGCAGTAAGTAGTATTGTTCATAAAACCCACAGCAAAATATTCACTATTATTGCAATTTTTCAAATAAGTTAAAAAATGAAATGTCTTTGATCTGATGATGTGAACAAGTGACAGAATATTATAGGGTGTAACACCAGTCATACATCTAGAAAAACATAGCAGAAAAGATTGTTGGAAAGTGCACTGAAGCACCTCCTAACTTTACTGGCTGAACTTCAACAATATAGAAACACAGAAAGATGAACTGAGAGAAAAAGCCAAAATCTTACAATCTTATTTTTCTCTATCTGCCAAAAATTTAATATACATATCAATTACTTTAAAAATCAGAAAAATCATTACTTAAAAAAAATGACTAGAATGGAAGTGAGGATCAAGTGATAAGAATGCCAGCTAAACAAGTAAGCCCAGAAAGCTTGAGGCCCTGAGTTCAAATTCAAGTACTAGAGGAAAAAAAAATCCAAGTAGTAGGAAAAATAAATAAATAAACAAATCAATGTTGACTCACATTCTAAAACAAGGACTTCTTGGAACTTTCTTGAAGGAACTGAATTAAAAAAATATCATGATTGCATATTTTGTCCCATAATATTAACTCCAAAGGCAAGATTACAGAATTCCATTTCTTTTTTTTTTTTTTTTTTTTGGGTCCGGTCGTGGGGCCTTGAACTCTGGGCCTGGGCCCTGTCCCTCAGCTCTTCAGCTCAAGGCTAGCGCTCTACCACTTGAGCCACAGCGCCACTTCCGGCTTTTTTCTTTTTGCTTATGTGATGCTGAGGAATCAAACCCAGGGCCTCAGGCATGCAAGGCAAGCGCTCTACCACTGAGCCACCTTCCCAGCCCCAGAATTCCATTTCTTACCAAAAATATATTAATGTAACAATACTGACTTAACATTTTTCGTGTTTCTTTTTTGAGGCAGGGTCTCACTATGTACTAGTCTGGCCTTGAATTGGAGATCCTCTTGCCTCAAGTGCCCCAATTGTTGGGACTACAGGAGTGTGCCATCATGTCCTTTTTTATTACCTTACATACAAAAATACTAAAATAAACTTACAAATTTAACCAGCAAGGAGTAAGTGAATCCAAGTATTTTTGTTCCATTAGTGTCAATATTGCTTTTCTATACTGAGGATTTATGATGCCATCACTAAACAAAATAAGTAGTGGCTTCTGAAGTCTTAAATATGAGGGAAGATTTTGCACAGTGATTTCTGGCTGTTAAACAAAAAACCAAAATGAAAACAAAAAACAACTATGAGACACAAAAATATAGGTATGATGCAGCCTAAAACCGAAAACAACATTTAAGTCACATATGCAAATTTAGTTAATGAAATATAATTCAAACACATTCCAATTTAAATGGATTATGTAATACTAATAACAATGAGTCCAAAGTTTCTTACTCAATATCACCTCACTCCATAAATGAATTATCTCCAAAATAAATTACTAAATGCTTCTGATGAAAAAATTAACTTCTAATAACTTCTGATGCTAAAATCTGGGCCAGATTAGCCAACATGCATGTGAAAAGCAAAACTCTTACAGTTTTCCTCTACCAAAATTTTGCAAGTAAAATATAAATATCCTGAAGCCAGTTGCTGGTGGCTTATGCCTATAATCCTAACTATGAAGGAAGTTGAGATCTGAGGCTTTGGGTTCAAAGCCAGCCCAGGCAAAAAAGTCCATGAGACTTATATCCCCAAGAAACTACTTAGAAAAAGAAGAGGTGCTAGGCTCAAGTGGTAGAGCACTAGCCTTGAGCAAAAAGAAGTTCAGGGACAGTGCCCACACCCTGAGTTCAAGCCCCAGGACCAGAACCAAAATATGTACAGAAAAGGATAGATAACTATATAGATAGATATCTACAGAGTCAGATAGAGATATCTCTATCTATAGATTTCTATGGAGATATCTATCTATAGAGATAGATATAGATAGATATATAGACAGAGATCTCTATATATATATGCTGAGTTTAAAACATTTTTCTTTTAATGTCTATTATTACTTAAAATAAAAATTAATAAAACTTTTTTCAAGATTGTAGATTTTTGGCATAATTAAGTTAATCACATGCTAAAACAAACCCAAAATAATAATAATTATTATTATTATTTAGAATATTTAGAATAATAATATTATTACTAGTATTCACTTCCAAAAATGTAATTGTAGAAGAGAGTTTGTCTAGGTTGTTAATAACAAAAGATCAACAAACAATCCTAATGTCCTTATAATGAAGAATGGCAGTGATAGAAGAGCACAGTCTTTACTATTTTCCATTTTTACCTCTATATTTGTTACTTCAGCATCTGGATTAATCTGTGAGGTGATAAATCACCCCTATCACATAAGCCATTCCCAGCTAACAGAGACTTGCTGAAGTCATGGAGTTAAGGAGGGGGAAGAGTTGAAACTAGACCGTAGGCATCCTGCTCACCAACTTCCTTTTTCACTGAATCACACTAGCATCCACATGAATGATTTTTTTAAGTGGTACCAGCTACCTTTGAATACAGTACCAGACCATCCTCAAACAATAATCTCCGGCATATATCTTTCCCTGTTTAGTTCTTAAAGTGGCTTTCCTCTGCCACCTTTCATTTTTCATTCAACTCTTTCTTAACTGATCTAGATTTTTATTTCAAATAGCCTTTTACAAAAAATACTCACAAATGTTTCCAGTAATGCGCTTGTTATTATTTGAACTATGTCTTGTGCATGAGAGCCAACTAGTGGAATACTTTCTATTTTGTCTTCTTTGTGTCTGGCAAGCAGCAGGGCTGGGAGAGTTACAGCATATTTATTTGACCTATGGAGAAGTAGCATTAAAATAAGATGAAAAGAGAATGCTAGGTAAACAACATTGAAATATATGAAGGTAACAAAACTACATTCACTGAAAGCTGTTGACTAATAGAGACTAATAAGGATAAAGGAGTGAGAGTGAAGGCATCAGTCTGGTTAAGGTAGTGTGTAGGCATGTATGAAATTCCATGGTGAGTTCACTTTGAGAAATTATCTTATGCCAACAAAAAAAACAATGAATGACAGGAATATAAAGCAGGTCCTGTCCAGAGTATGAGCACCAGCAGTAGAGGATACAGAAGTAGGTAGAAGAGAGTGAACATGGCCAAAGCACTTTATGTACATGTGTGAAATGGAACAATGGAACTTGGGGAGGAGGGAAAGTGATATAGGGGGTGAGTCTGATAAACATATGCCTATACAAACATGTCAAAATATAATCTCTTGATGCTAATAGAAAATACAGGGGGAAATTCATAAACAAAATATATGAAGTCATCAAAAGCATGAAAAAATAAGCCAGTAAGTCACAGCAAGAGGCAACAAATGAAAAGCTCACTGTTAAGAAAAAAATTAACTCGATTTCCACACAAACTTGTCTTCCATGTGAGGCCACCTAAGGAAATTCAGGAACCTTGACAAACTTGATATAAAAATAGCAATAGACAATAATCCATATCAATCCCTCTAACCCCCAATCCCAGCACAACTAATTCATCAAGAAAAGGTCTAGACAGGGTTTGGAACACTGAGTGGCTCTTGACCTTTTTAGATTGATCACAACACATTTTTAGTACAGTGATGGCAGAAAGTTAGCTATATATTAGACTATGCCTATAAAGTAGTTCCTATGTCTCATTTTATACACAAACAGGATTCAGAGAATGATAAATAGCAGACAACAAATTCAAATAAAGCAATCTCGACACAAAATGTATGCCCAAGTCTGCCTTCCTAAGACTTTTGCTAACTGAATCTTAAAAGAAATTTCTCTGAATTAAATAGGGAAATGTTTTGTGTGAAATTACCAGTGAGGTTAGCCATATGTATAAAAATTTAATTCGTGCCAGATCATCTAGAAGCCTCTTGGTCAACCAGTTCATTATAAACAAAACACATTGAAAAGTATTAGCATCATTCTGTGGACCATAATTAAATACATATTGAGAGATGAAAATAGTAAGTGATCATGCATTATCATATGGATATGTTTTCTGGTTTAGGATATAGTTTTAAAAAATCACTTATTGTACAAAATAAAGTGCAGCTTCACCATCAAGAGCAGTGTCAAAGATGAGAGATTTGATCACAGAAATCAAAAGTAGGAATATTGTAGTCAGGAGGTAAGAAAGACAAACTACTTGGGCTTACTGAATAAATCAATTTGCACCTAATATGATGTGTATTAGTAACAGTCTCCAAATTTGAAGTCTAGTTCTTCATCCTACAGGAATGAAAATTTGGACAATCCATAGGAGCCCCATCTTCCACATACAAAGCAACGTAAGTGGCTGTAAGATGCTGATCTTTTAAAGTATATTTTTGGCAGCAAACAAAAGCAGATACTCAATAAGTAAAACTCTCTAAAGATCATGACAATTCTAAAGAACCAAAGCTTCAGGAAATATAGTACCCCAAGAGGAAAATTTTTACAGGAAGATGAAGTATAAATCCAAGATTATCCTGTGGGCACTTCAACGTAAAGTAAAAGAATAAAGAATCTAAACAGTCTGGCACTTCCCAGATCTTCCTAGAAGGAAATTTAAATTTTATTTATGGTACTGCTCTTTCTTCCCAAATCAGCTACCTAAACTACACATTATACTGTTTAGCTTCTTCCTAAAATTAGAAAAGCAGTAACTTACAATATCCAAACATCATCTTCAGAGTAAATTCCAGTAATGGCATGCCCTTTTAGGTAGTTTCCTGCTTCAATGAAATATTCTTTTGCTGTAGAGACAAAGACAAGAAAAAAATTTCTGAGACCTTTACTATTATGTGCACTGTTCAACTGATGACCAGATTTATAGATGATAGTATTTTACTCCTAAGGCATGGTAAATGGAGACAGGCATCCTATATGTATGCTAAAAAGAGAAACAACTATGTAAAATGATGTACACTTCAAAAATCACAAACTTGAATTGGGTGTCAGGCTCACACCTGTAATCCTAGCAACCTGGGAGGCTACTAACAGATCATGCTTTAAGGCAATCCCAGGCGGAAAAGTCTGTAAGACCCTGTTGAACCCACAGCTGGGCATAGTGGCACATGCTTGTGATTCTATCTTTGTGGTAGAATCTCTGCCGCAAACCAGGCCTAGGCAGAAAAGTTCATGAGACTCTTTATCAGCAGAAACTGGGCATAGTGGCATGTGCCTATCATTTTACCTATGATAGGAAGTTAAATATAGGTGGATAACTGTTCAGGCCCACACCTAGAGAGGAAGCAAGAATCTATCTCAAAAATATCAAGCACAGCTTGGTGCTGGTGCTCATGCCTGTACTCTGAGCTACTCAGGAGGCTGAGAATGAGGATCATGGTTGGAAGCCAGCTTGAGCAAGAAAGTCCAACAAACTCTTTAATTAACTACCAAAAGCCAGAAGTGGAAGTACGACTTAAGTGGTTGCCTTCTAGTATTGAGCAAACAAGCTCAGGAACAGTACCAAGGCCGCTGAGTTTAAGCTTCTAGACCAGCACACGCACACACAGACACACAGACACAATTATAAAATGGAAAAGTTCCTATGTGCACAAAAGACTGGGAAGTTTAGTCTTCTAACACTGTTCACATTAGGACTGTGTAACTATGAGAATTTTTGTCTTATTTTCTTCATTTTCTGTAACGTAGTTGTTACTTTTTCAATTTTGAGTATTTGTGCATCAGTCTTTCCTCATGTATTAATATATTCCAAAATAAAAGCTACTATTTCTATAGATTTCAGAATGTTTTCATAAATAATAGCATATCCTGGATGTAATCACACTCTTTTAACCAAGAAGTGAGTTTGAATTAAGTAACTGTGGACTAATGAGAAAAGTGCAGATGCTGACTTAATACTAAATGAAGCATTCTTGTTAAGTGAAAGACAATTGCTAGCTCAGCCCTGTGTACCAAAGATTTATAGCAGCACAAATAGAAAATGTTGATGAAAGAAGTAAGCCATAAAGCACCTACAGGGCTAAGCATGCTGAGCCTGCAGATCTACACCCTAGCAGTCAGCAATGTCATCACTGGGTAGCCATGAGGTTCTCTTTTAAAAGAATATATATTCTCCACAAGATTAAAAAAATACGGTTGTAAGAAAAGCAAACTAACCAACCAAGGTGGCTCAGTCAGTCTTTTGGGAGCATTTAGAGCTCATAGATTTAAATTTATATATGTATGTATGTATTTATTTATTTAAGTCATAGATTTAATGAGAAACTGGTAACTCCTTAAAATATTTTTCCTACCAAAGTAGGAAAGATTCATAAGAAAACAAACAACTACAAAAGGACTTGCTGGTTTACTTTTGTTTCTAAGAAAAACAGCTAAATTCTTATCAATGGATAAACTTTTATCTACCATAATGGAAACTTTCTGATTCTTCTTTGACAAGTTACAGTGGAAAGAAACCGTATTCTCACATAAATTCCTCATACAGAAGCCTCTCTATTCCTGAATATACTTGCTGAAAGTCTCTTCATTTAAAAAAAAATACTAAGTAACTATGGAATGGGAAGATGTAAGGCTGTAGACTTCAGATGACCTACTAATTCAGGCTACATATTTTTTTTCTGAACATTCAAAACTAGGAATATTCTTCAGTTCCTAAATGAAAATTACATATATGGCAGAAAATATACAGTGATCTCAAATACAAGGAAATAATTATCTAAACCAAAAGATATATAAATTTTTTGTACTATAAACCTTATTTGGGGTATATATATAAATGATGAATTAGTGCACTGGCAGCCTTAGCTACATGGGAGCATGGGAGGCTGAAGTGGGAAGAGAGTTTGAGCCAGGGAGTTTTAAGACCAGGCAGTTTCTGGCCCTATCAAAGATACAAGCAAAATACACATAGTCTGTACATATACAAAAAAGCATATGAAATGCCAGTAAAGCACATTTTATGTATTAAGGTAATATATGTATGAAGCTAATATTCACCTAGAAGACAGAACAGGCAATAAAAACAAGAAAATGAAAGAACCACTTTATGGAAATTAGTCAGCATTCCTACTAAAAATCAAGAAAAACTGAGCACTGGTGGCTCTTGCCTGTAATCCTACTTATCTGAGGATCACCATTCAAAGCCAGCCTAGTCAAAAGACTCTATGAGACTCTTATCTCCACTTCACCAAAAGCTGGAAGTGGCTCCCCTCGGAGAACTTCAGCTTTGAGCAAAAAAGCCAAGCAACAACATGAGGCCCTGAGTCCAGCCCCAGTAATGGCATACACAAGAAAAAGAGTTGCATATATAATTTACAATTTTACAATGAACACAATTTACAGAGGACAAAATTATTTCACTAAGAATCTAAACCATTAAATATTCTAAAAATCCACACAAAGACTAAAACATATTCTCCATATGCAGAGAGATAAGGAAAACAGCATAAACATTACAGACAAATTCTGGAATAAATGTATATGTATATATATTCTGGAATATATGTATATGTATATATTTATATATTCTGGAATATACGTATATGTATATATTTAACTTAATTGAACTTTACATAGTCATAACATTTTTAAAGCTACAATGGTAAGAGTATACAAGTACGCTAAGATAAAATTATAAAGATAAAAAATTATAAAGATAAAACAAAATATTAACTTAGATACTCTTTTAAAATTAACCTCAAGCCAGGTATTGGTGGCTCACATCTGTACCTAGCTACTCAGGAGGCTGAGATCTGAGGATCACAGTTCAAAGCCATCCTGGGCAGGAAAGTCTGTGAGGCTCTTATCTCTAATTAACTACCCCCCCAAAAATGGGTCAAAGTGGTAGAGCACTAGCCTTGAGCAAAATAGCTCAAAGACAATGCCCAGGCCCTGAGTTCAAGCCCCCAGGTCCAACACACACACACACACACACACACACACACACTCAACAACTAGAAAGCAATTTTAAAGCTCACCTCTACTTACCTGTTATCATGGCTGGATTAAACAGTCCCAGTACTGACACATTAGAATAGGCAATCAGGTCTTTATATAATTCTCCACTTAAATATTCTTCTGCTTCTTGGATTGAGGCTATGTTTACTGGACATGAAATCCTGTTGCTGGATGAATATACAACTATATTCAAAATCAATTTTTAAAAGTAATTTTCAGCTTCTTAAAAAACATTAAACTTAGCAAGAAATATATACACAAGATAAATATCTACCAATATAAAGACAAAAAATCGATTTAATTAAGCCAGGCACCAGTGGCTCATGCCTATAATTCTAGCTACTGAGGAGGCTGTAATCTGAGGATTGAGGTTCAAAACCAGAACAGGAAGGAAAATCTGAAAGACTCTTATCTCTACTAAACTACAAAAAAAAACCTGGAAGTGGAGCTGTGGCTCAAATGGTAGAGTGCTAGCCTTCAGCACAAAAGCTCAGGAACAGCACCCATGCCCAGAGTTCAAGCCCCACGACTATCACACACACACACACACACACAAATCAATACAATTAAAAAAGTGTTGAAATGTGCAAAGACTCTATTTAACAATATTTACTCTGTGATTTCAGTTCTAGTATCCTTCTTAATGTGTTAACAGTATATCAACAAGGTAAGAGAATTGAAACTCCAAGCTCCAATCTTTAGAAATAATAGTAAAGCTGAATACTTACAGTTGGATAAACTTTAAAAGTGCTTCAGTCCCTAACATACCATCATATGACACTGGGTTCTCGCCTTCCTTGTACATCTTTACCACAGGAAATTCAGTAACATTTTGCTTAGTGCATGTATCAGACCAATCTGCACAATTTATTATAGTAAGAAGCATAGTGGATGTGCCTGAAGTGAACAATTATAAATGATAATTAACATTTTAATATTTCAGTTATAATTAATTCTGCTTAGAATGTCATTTTCTTCTCAGTCCATTATCTGATTTTAATCTTTTGTGGTGTAACACTCTAACTTTTTTAAAATTCATTTTTCTTTTTTGTGTGTGTGCCAGTCCTGTGCTTAAACTCAGGGCCTGGGTGCTGTCCCTGAGCTTTTTTGCTCAAGACTAATACTGTACCTCTTGAGACACAGCTCCAAGTCTAGAATTTTGGTGGTTAACTGTATATAAGAGTCTCACAGACTTTCCCATCTGGGCTGGCTTCAAAGCATGGTCCTCAGACCTCAGACTCCTGAGTAGCTAGTATTATGGGCATGATTCATGGATGTCTGGTTCTTCCTTTATTTTTTCTTTTTTTAACAAAGCAGTTTATGAATAGAAGATAGCTTGATCAATGCCATCCCTTTCAACATTCCCACCCATCTCTCTCCTACCCATTCCTTCCCTCACTCTTCTTAATTTTGTAGGATGTATACATTGTTTGTTTTTTTTTTACTGCATTCTGCCCCACTTCTCTTCAATTGTCGATCCCTTTCTTCTTGACCCTACCCTACCCCTTTCACGACCTCACTTCCTAGTGTTTTATTTTGCTGAGCTTTGATTTTGACTTTCTAAGGAATTACACTATTTGACTTCTCCTCTGAGTCTACTGTATTTCAGTTAGTACATTTGTATACATTTGCATACTACAAATGTATTTATGTTTATAAGCTCAATCTAGCTTCTACATGTTAGGAAAAAATGCATCCCTTTTCTCTCTGGGCCTAACTTACTTCACATAATATACAAGATAGTTCATGAAGATGACAAAACTAGCCAAAGAATAATGGAAGAATTCATGGAGAACGAGAACACAAATAAAAAGCTTAACAAATTCCAAAAGATGGCAAATGAGTCCACTGAAAAAACAGATACTCAAGTGTAAGAGATGAAAGACAGCACAGATAAACAAATCAATAAAGTAAAGAATAAGAAAAAGTCAATACTAGATCTTCCTTTCTTTCTGTTGGTTTTTAACCTACCCTTTTTAGTTTATTCTTTTCAGTCCCTTTTTGTAGGCTCTTCTACTAAGAGTTCAGAGTTGCTCAATGTTCAATTTAGAGTGCTTTCTTTCTTCCTCAACACTGTATTTAAACACTCTCAACCCACCAACAATTTTGTCTTAAACTTACACTTTTTAGCCCAGACTCAGATAGACTTACCAGTTCACTTCCCTGTAAATAGAAACATCTTCAAACTCTTGTCTCTAAAACCAAATACAATTCCCTATGTCACAATGAGATCCCTCTTGTAATAATGTATACTAAATTAAAAGGAAATATGACTTCCTTCCTGTAGATAATGGTAAAGATTGCCACTTGAGTGCAACTCAGAAAATCAAGTATTGTCTTTCATGTGCCCTGTTCCTAGTCTCTCCAGGTCTACTCAACCACTATCTTTGTACTTTTACCACTTCAGTTTTAAATGTCTCCAGTTACAGCTCATCTCCAATTATCTTTTCACTTTTACCACTTCAGTTTTAAATTTCTCCAACTACAGTTCCATTTCTCTTAATAAGGTGTCATTTGTTCTGGGGTAACTACAAAGGCTACAATCTACTTCCCGAAAATCATTCTCTACAATAATGCTAGAGATACTTTTCAAACCTCACATGAAAAAGAGGTATCACCCCAAGTTTTTAATAATGAATTTTTTCCTTCATATTTTCAAAGATGATAGCATACAGAGGCATAACTTTTCACTTCAGATTTAGTGAGCTATAACTGATGTGTATTTTTTCCCCTGTGCTTTTTATAGTACCTGATACATGGTATATACCAAAACTGTATGGAATGTACTCTAATACTTTAAAAAAACATTAAATTTCTTATGCTAATGTACATTAACACTTGAACAGTGCATGAGCATACATAAAGGTAAGCCCTTATTTCTTCCAAAAGCAGACTCAAGTTACATCTTGGCAAAATTCTTCTATGTTTTAACAATGTCATCTGTAAGTGCCTGGTGATTCTTGATCACACAAAGTGGCATGTTATAGTCCCATCCACGTAGGGAATGTAGTGACATTGCAGACACAGATGCTTCCCTTCAAAAGGCATTTGCAACATGCTTTTCACTGCTAAAAATGTCAGTATTACTTTGTCCCTAATGAAGCTGAAAACCTTAATATTATCTTTAAAACTGGAAAAAGAACACTGATACATGTTATTAAAAGTTATACAGCTATGCTGGGCATCGGTGGCTCATGCTAGCTAATGCTAGCTACTCAGGAGGCTGAGATCTGAGGATCACAGTTCAAAGCCAGCCCAGGCAGGAAAGTTCATGAGCCTTTATCTCCAATAAACTATTGGAGTGGCACTGTGGCACTGTGGTAAAGCCCTAGCCATGAGCACAGAGAGGCTCAGGGACAGAGCCCAGGCCCTGAGTTCAAGCCTCAAGATGGGGGGAAAAAAAGTTATACAGCTAAAATTTTTATTATTTTTCTGTTACATGGTTTCAAGATTTACTCATATTTCAATCTAGTCATCTAATAGTCTGACATACCTATAGCATTATACCCCATATACTTTTTCAATGCACTGACTACAAACAAAATTCCTTACCTGAAGAATGTGATAGTCTCTTTGATACAGATACTATAAAAGAACAAAATTTGAACATTTGCTGCCACCTTGTGACTAAGAGGGAAAAAATGTTCTTCATTGTCTTAAGCTGAGATGAAAAATAGATTTTCCCAAGAGTTCACAATAGAAGACAGATTGTAGAAATAATATCCAAAATGCTATCATGTTTTCTTAATTTAACACTATAGTACAGGTTAAGAATACTAGTCTAAAAATCTGAAATCTCACCTATAATCCTAGCTACTTGAAAGGGCGAGATCACAGTTCAAAGCCAGCTAGGGCAGAAAAGTCCATGAGACTCTGATCTCTAAATAACCATCAAAAAGCTAGAAGTGGAGCTGTGTCTCAAGTGGAAGGGCACCAGCCTTGAGAGAAAAAGCCAAGAAACTCAGGCCAAGGCCCTGAGTTCAAGCATAAAATATGAAAAATTAAATTAAAATCTGAAATGATCCAAAATCTGAAACTTTCTGAGTACTGTTATAATATCACAAGTAAAAATTCTACAACTGAATTCCTGTGACCAATCACAACTAAGTCACATTAAACAAAACTGCATAAAATTACCTGCAGGCTGTAGGTAGAATTAATATGTGTCCCAAATTAGTTATTTGCTTTTCTATTCTACAAACACATACAACTTGACAACTAAGTGTGGGAGTTAGGCTCATGCCTCCACTCCCAGCTACCAAGAAGGAAGAAGTCAAACACCAACTCAGGCAAAATAGTGAGATTTCCATCTTTTAAAAAGGCCAGATATGGTTGCATGTACACATGTGTGTGCACACATAGATACACATGCACACACACACAGATGCACACGCACCCCTCTCATCCAGGTTAAGTAAGATCTTAGGATCACAGCTGAAGGCTGACCCAGGATGAATATCAACACCTCTATCTAAAAAGTAACCTAAATCAAAAAGTACTGGAGACGTGCTTCAAGGGTAGGCCACTTGCCTAGAACAGATAAGGTCCTGAGTTTAAAACCATCCAAAATAACAACAACAAAAAACCCCAAACAAACAAAAGCATGGTAGATAATATGCCCAGGGCAGCCAAGATTAAACCTGTGTCAGTGTTTTTGCTGGAAAGATGATATGGACATTTTGAGTTAAAGACCAATCCCTGGACTCTTATTTGCTTATCAATGGATCTGTTTTCACAAAATACCTAAATCCTAGTCCATGAGGAGCTATGTAACCTCAAGATACTAAAATCTTTGATCTTTCACTAAAGAAACCATGAAACTGAGTTTTTGTGTCAAATTTTTGCTTACAGTGTTTAATAGTAACAGGCAGAGTAGACACTAGACAAATGCTTGTTACATGACTGAATTTAATCCAAAAAGTTAGTGGATTAACTGTGTAGTCACAAATATTTAATAAATGGGCTCTTGTTTCCACAAAGTGTTGTCCCATGAGAACTGTCTCAGAGAATTCTTAATAGTCTTAGTTTATTAATTTAATCACAAAGACACAAATGACCTGAAATTTTATATAATTTTCTATATGTTTATAATGGCAGTTTTGAAAAAAAAATAGATCTCAGAATCAGGAAAATAATCATGCATCCCACAGAATAATACCTTTCAATTTAGCTGCCACATCAACATAGGATTGGAGAAATGCCATGGATACTGCATGCCCTGCATTAAAATAAAAGATTCAGCAGACATTAGAACACATATATCCAAAGCATTCATGAACAAATGCACAGCTTTTTGAGATTTTCCAAATTTTTATTTCCAAATAAGAAATATCCTAACAGAGGCTCACTATTATCCAATCACTTTAAAGGGTTCAAATACAGTTAATTTTTATAAGCTAAAATACAGTTAATTTTTATACTTAAGCTAAAAGTAATATAATTGAATGGCTATTTTTAATATAAACATTGTATTCCCTTAGGAATCTATAAGAACTAATAATACACTAAAAATGATTAGCTTGAGTCAGAATACCTAGATTAAACATTAACCTTTAATTTGTAAATTACATATATAGAAATGTATACAGTCTGAAAGTTAGTGCTTCAATGCGTGCAATCTACTTAGAACATGTAAAGGCTGTCATTTTAAAATGTAAATACACAGAATGCTAAAATAAATGGTGTCTACTATAACTGTCATAATACATAATATGGTGTCTCTAAAGGCTTATACTCACAACCAGCATAGAAGAGCACTAAGCTGTCAGAGGCCATTACTGTCTCATTAAAGGTCTCTTCTGTTAGTTCCACTGTTAGCTCCAAAGGTAATTGTCTCTTCCTATCTCTGAAGACAGTTTCTTCCACTTCATCATCTTGAACATCTAAATGTTTAAAAAAATATGTTACTTTATCCAGGTGCCAGTAGTTCATGCCTGTAATCCTAGTTACTCAGGAGGCTGAGATCTGAGGATTGTGGTTCAAAGCCAGCCCAGGCAGTAAAGTTCACGAGACTCTTATCTCCAATAAACCACCAGAAAATGGAAGTGGCCCTCAAGCTCAAGTGGTAGAGCACTTGCCTTGAGCTGAAAAGCCCAGGGACAGCACCCAGGCCCAGAGTTCAAGCCCCACAGTGGACAAAAAAAAAAAAAAAAGATACAACTACAACTCTTCTCATAAGCAAGCATATGAAAATTTGGCATTTTATTTTTTTAAAAAAACTTTTCAATTGACACTATCTAAATAAAATGTATGAAATTTAGAAAACTCTGCTGTTGCCTGGCTTCCTCTCTAAATGACTCTGATGCTTTCTGATCCAGAGATTATAAATTTTAGTCAATCCCAGAAGTAGTTACTGATTTTGTTCTGCAAATAATATTAATATTGCTATTTTGTTTCTAATCACTATTTCAAATCCTGAAAGTACCCAAAAATACTCATAGTACAGTGTTAACTTTTACTATTTATCAAGCACTTTGGTAATCACTAGGGTAAGACATTGTCCTTGATCACAGAGAGCTCTGATCAATGGAAAAGCCAGACAATAAACTGATGAATAAATGAATTAATATATACTGATAAACTCATCAATTTATGAAGGAAGATAAATAGTACAGGTGAGAGACTGTAACAGAAAAATGTAGATTAGACAATCTAAAACATTATCAGCAGGTAATCAAGAAAAGATTCTAGCTTTCCTGTGTAATAGAAATGACAAAAAAGGGAGAGAGAAGATTACATGTACAGACATAAAATCATGCATTACTAAGGGCCAATATCTATTACAGACAATGGGAAGCTAAAATGGAAAAAAAACCAAATCTATAAAGGAAATAATAGAATCAGGTTGAGGGAAGAAGGCAGGTAGACAGTTAAAAGAAAAGGCAAAAGATAGTTAAAAGAGAGAACAAACTAAAGCCACTTAGAAAGCATGAACACAGGAATCTTCAACAGGCAGCTCCTGCTGAGGACAGAAATCTTATTAAATAAACCAAGACAAGTCCCCAAAAGGGTTGGAGCATATGAACCATAATAAGAACACAGCAAGGAACAAGAAGCCAGAACTCAGATCTGCCAATGTAATACTAAAGCATTGGAGAAGAAATCCTGCCAGGATCACAAAAATCCTAACCTTTGCAGGCCACAAAAGAGCTAGGGCTCAGCTCAAACAGAAAACTGACTACTCATAACGGTTAAGGTTCTTATTAAATTTATAATCTTGACCATAATAATAGATGGACCTCATGAAAAGAATGTGTAAATTGCTTCCTTCTTGGGGCTCACGATAATGACACTATATAAAAGATTAAAGAACTCATTAAATGGGACATAAAAATGAACAAGACATGATCTTTGATGGAGATACTAACAGACTATGGAAGCAAAAAGAAATGGAAATGAGCATTTACAGTTTGTAAATGTTATGTTATGAAAGACATATTTGGGATGATAATGATAATAAAGAAGCTCATGTTACAATTCTAGTCCAGATGAGCTCAGGTCTAATCCAACCTCCACCACACACCATTAGTGTGACCTTGAACAGATCACATAACTGAAAAAACAAATGTAACATCTATAAAATGAAGGTAACATTAGTTAACTCACAGGATAATAAAGTCATGTGTGTGGAAAAGCCTTGAGAATTAGAGAATAAATACTTCTATAAACACCAACAGAAGACTTATAAAAACAGAACTGTTAAAAAAGAAATACTAAAATGTTATCAAAATTGACTCTATACTGTTAATAATCAGACTCCCAAGTACAGACACCATAACATTTATTACAATTTTATCTCCTAGTAATAAATATAAAGGAGTAATAAAAATATCCTATGGCTTCTAAATGGAATTTTTAAACATGGATTAGACTGGTTAAAAGATATTGAATGGGCTAGCAATGATGAAGATATATTGTATTCATAAACTTCTTTGTTGAATGGCAACTTCTTTGTATAATTACTTAAAGATAATATAAAAATTGTTTTAAAGATAAAGGTATCGGATGCTAGAAGGGTGATATGTAACAATGAAGGTATATCTTTGGGATAGAGGTGAGACTCAAGTGGTAGAGCTCCTGCCTAGCAAGCTAAGGCCCCGAGTTCACATCCAGCATCAAAAACAAAAAAATACATACATACTAAATACAATATAGCCTCCTAACACCTTTCAAACAACAGTCTAAACATTCACATGGTGATGAGGATTTTCTTAGGAGAGGATCACAAGGTCTCAATAGCTATGTGCATATGATCATATGCTTATCAGAATGAACTCCATGAAATGGAAGCAGTAAGTTTTTTATTGTACTGTTTGTGGTTCCTTTTTTTCTTTTCTTCTTTCCTTCTTTCTTTGGTTTATTCACTGTTTTTTTTATTTCTTTATCCTTTGTCTTGTATATAAGCTTATCTGATTTGGGGAGGGGAAGGGAAAACAGAAACCATAGGACAAGGGGTGCACCAATTCAGCAGTGAAACCCATTAGACACTATGCTGGAAATGAACTATCACTTGATGGGGAGGGAAGTCAGGAGGGGAAAAACTGGGAGAGAATGAGGGAGGGGTGACACTGTCCAAAGGAAATATACTCATTATCTGACTTATGTAACTGTAACTCCTCTATATCACCTTTACAATAATTTTTTAACTAATTAATTTGATGAATATGATTAAAATTAATTTCTCCAGTTTTCTTCACAGTCTTTGATGTTAATACAATGAATGAGAAAGGTAATCCACTGGAAATTTCACTGACTTTACAGGTGTTAGGCAGGAAGTAGGGTAGTGAGCACTGTAACTTACCCAGATCTAGGTCTTCCACATCATCATCTTCATCTTCTTGTACTTGTTCAACATATATTTTATTTTCCACATGGGAAACTATTGAATCAACATCATGTAAAACTAAATATTCCACTGGAACATCCTAGAAATACATTAATTTGTTACAACTTACTAAAATTTTAGCAAAAAAATGATGTTTTCATTTTTTGACACTGAAACTACACCTTTGAACTTCACTTTTTAAAAAAAGGAAGCAAACACCAAATTACTATCAAAAAAGCATCCAGAATGTTTATATAAACACAAAAAAAGGAATGGAAAATGTCACTTGCTTCCGGTCACAACTGAAACCTGTGAAACATTTGACATATCAGAGCAAGCCCTACCTCAAGATAAAATTGAACATATAGATTGGCTGCAAATTGAGCTAATCAAAATGTTACTTTGATAATCCCAGATCTATGGACTGATCACATTTGATATTCCACAGAATAAAAAAAAATCTTCATCTAAAATAATGATTCTCTGAAGTTGAATTTCCTGTTATCTATAAACATAAAATTACTCTCCATTTCTAGGCACTTTAAGAACACCACATTTTATTCCACTTAGATCAAAATTATTCTATTAAGGTTTCTTTCACTAATGCTCTACTACGACTTTTTAAAAACATGAAATTTAAACCATTTGGTTATGTTAGTAAATAAAGTTTCAAATGCTTTTTCTTCAATATTACATATATATCTTTTAAATGTTTTATTCAAAGCAAGCAGGGTTTTTTTAACAAATAATAAATTTATTAGGTGTGTACAAGTACAAAACACAGCAAGCTGCTGTAGAGGATTATAAATTTGTGCAGGAGACGCATCTGCCCTCAGAGAGCTTACAATCTAGGCAGAAGTTACAAGGATAAATTTGGGTAATCATTGCTTCAAATGACATCAGCAGAGCTTTTGAAAGTGCTCACATCCTTCGAATTCTTTTCCTTGCAGATATAAGACATCTTTTCAATAGGGAAGTTAAATGTGGGAGAGACCTTTTATGGAATGAACTAGTGACCTTGACTTTGCATAGAAGCATCTTTCCTAAGCAGGTTTTTTTTTTATTCCTGCAGAAATGTAATGGATTTGAGAGATGGAGGAGTCAAAATAAATGGAACTGAATTTGTTCCAAATATAATATAAAAATTTTGTATGTAAATTTTTACTAAGTGTAAGAATCCTGCAGAAAACAAGACAAAAATTTTACCTATCTGTTAAGAGGTGAGCAATTTCAGCAAAGCCAATGGCCTCAATTTGTCCCTCTTTGTTACATTTCTCCCCTAAAGATAATCACTACTCTGCCATTCATGACCACTATGGTTTGAATATTTTTTGTCCCCTCAAAATGCCTAGGCTCAAAGTTAAGCACCAGTGATGGAGTAGGAGTTGAGTCCTGTGAAAGGTGCTTAGGTTATGAAGGCAGAGGGATGGAATTAAGTCCATCAGAATCTTCAGAGAATTCCTCTCCCTATCCTATGAAGGCACAGAGAGAGGGTACCATCTGGGAACCACAAATGCATTCTCACTATACACTGTGAGAAATAATAAAATTCTGTTTTCTATAAGCCATCTGATAGATCATTTCTTGTAGAAGCCCAATCAGCTGAAGAATAATCACTCTCTATAAATTCTGCTGATTTGTGAATTTATATAATGAAACTATGCAAGCATAAACTATATCCTTTTTGTGGTTCTTTTTGTGGTTCTTTTTACCAAACAGTGTTTGATCCATGCTGCGAACATATAAAAGTAGGTTTTTTCAGCAGTGTAGTTGTCACAGCGCATTATTCTAATCTATTCATGTTCTATGTTCATGGACATTCTATGTCTGTGGACAGTCTGGGACTACCATAAATAATACTGCTGTGGAGATCACATGTCTGGTGGACATGCACACGCACTTCTGTTGGGCACATACCTAAGAAGGCAAATATGGGTCTGCACAATACAGAGAATTTCAGCTTGGATAGCACTGGAAAGTGTTTCATCATGCCAATCTGCACTCCTAATAGCAGTATATGAAAATCTTGGATTTTCACATCCTTGTCAATACTTGGGATTGTTACTTTAACGATTCTGGTGGGTCACTACTGGGGTTTCTTGTGAGATATATGCATATACATATTTTATATATATATATATATATATATTTCCACCTATAGTCAATTTGCTAACTGGAAAAGGGGAAATGTGTCTCTGACAGTGAAGAGAAAGAATGGTACCATCTCATATGAGTCACTGTAAAACAAGTACCATCACATTAGGAGAGGATGGAATATAATGAAGGTTAGCCTCACTGTGACATATTCTTACCCAAAGTGTCCAAAGGAGCTAATCAACCTTAAAATCTAATGGGAAGAAAGTATAAGACAACCAAGAAATAAGGTAGACAAAAGCAAAAGGAAACTGAAAAATTCATAATTTGAAAAAACAAGCCACTTTTATCCAAAAAGTCATGTCACACAGAGAAAAGGATGGGGAAATTTAAGATACTAAGAGACTTTGAAACCATACCCGATACAATTTCTAATTCTTCACTGGAATTTGGTTTGCAAAGGTTATTATATATTTGGGTCCGGTCGTGGGGCCTGAATTCTGGGCCTGGGCGCTGTCCCTCAGCTCTTCAGCTCAAGACTAGCTAGCGCTCTACCACTTGAGCCACAGCGCCACTTCCGGCTTTTTTCTTTTTGCTTATGTGGTGCTGAGGAATCGAACCCAGGGCCTCAGGCATGCAAGGCAAGCGCTCTGCCACTGAGCCACCTTCCCAGCCCTATAAGAATAATTTTAAGATGAGAAAATTTCAGTATGGACTAACTTTGAAATTAGATTATTAAATTATTGATATATTATTACATTATTAAATATAACTTTAATTGTGATAGTAAGATGGTGATACATACATATATAGAGTACAAATGTAGTATTCAGAGATGTATTTATACATAAAATGTTATCATATCAGAAAAACCAGATGAAGTTATAGGATAAAATGTCTATTGCTGAATCTGGTGGTAGATATATATAGTTACTTACTCTATATTTCTACTTTTTGGCATCACTGGGGCTTTTTTCATGACAAAATGTTTAAAAACAGAATAAAATGGCTTTCACAAACTTATAGTTTTGATTTTTGTTTTGTTGCTGGTCCTGAGTCTTGAATTCAGGGCCTGGGTGCTGTTCCAAAGCTTTTGTGCTTAAGGCTAGTGTTCTATCACTTGAGCCACAGCTCCACTTCTGGTTGCGTGCATGCGTGCGTTTGTAGTTAATTGGAGATAAGAGTCTCACGGACTTTCTTGCCTGGGCAGGAAACCACAATCTTCAAATCTCAGCCTCCTCAGTAACTAGGATTACAAGCATGAGTCACTGGCACCCAACTTTAACATTTGTTGTTTTTTTTTGGGGGGAGGTCCAGTCGTGGGGGCCTGAACTCTGGGCCTGGGTGCTATCCCTCAGCTCTTCAACTCAAGGCTAGCGCTCTACCACTTGAGCCACAGCGCCACTTCCTGCTTTTTCTTTTTGCTTATGTGGTGCTGAGGAATCGAACCCAGGGCCTCATGCATGCAAGGCAAGCGCTCTACCACTGAGCCACCTTCCCAGCTCTTAACATTTGATTTTAATGTCTCTTACTACAAGAATAGTAGCCCCACAAGGAAAAGCACTGCTTTCATGCCCTATCTCAGAACCTAGAACTGTGCCTGATACAATGCAGGCATGAATATGCATTGATACTTATTAGTATTAACAATGCTGGGCTCTGTGCTTAGTCAGCTCTTTAAATCTCATCATTTAACAAAATGTAATAATTCTTCAAAGTAGGCATTACTATTCTCACTTTACAAAGTATGGTCTAAACTAGACAGTATGATTGTATGGAAGACACTTCTAACATTGTTTAATGCTGTTCACTGCCACAGAGAAACACGTATTTGAAGAATTAACATGATGCTTCCAGAAATGTTTTATAACTTTACTTTTACATTATAAGTCCTGTAATACAGTGATTAAGCATATACTGTAACTGTATACCCAATACTACCATCTAGAGATCTTTAAACAAACTCTTTGCCTGGTGGGGTACAACAAAGGGAGCAGAAAGGATGAGTACACAATCCCAGGACTGACAATGAATTTACCAAAGAAACTTGCAGATAAGCTTATCTTTGACAGAAAATCTGTCAACAGAGAGACCTAGCTGAACTTTTTAGTAAGGCAATTTAACAAAATAGTTTCAAAGACTTAAAACTTCCCATTTCCAACAAATGCCTCAGTAGTACTTACTAGTTGCTATGTTGAAAAAGAACTGTACAGGGCAGGGAAGGTGGCACAATGGTAGAGTGCTTGCCTCCCATGCATGAGGCCCTGGGTTTGATTCCTCAGTACTACATAAGCAGAAAAGGTCAGAAGTGGCACTGTGGCTTGCTCTAGTGGTAGCACACTAGCCTTGTACTGAAGAGCTGAGGGACAGCGCCCAGGCCCAGAGTCCAAGCCCCACAACGGACCAAAAATAAAGAGAGAGAGAGAGAGAGAGAAGGAAAGAAGGAAAGAAAGGAAGGAAGGAAGAAAGAAAGAAAGAAAGAAAGAAAGAAAGAAAGAAAGAAAGAAAGAAAGAAAGAAAGAAAGAAAGAAAGAAAGAAAATGAACTGTACAACTTGTGGGTGGGGACAGGAGGGAAAAATTAGGAGAAAGCAAAGGAAGGGGTGACATCCTCCAAAAAAGAAATGTACTCTTTACTTGACTTACGTCATTGTAACCCCTCTGTAAATCACCTTTATAATAACAATAAAAACATAAATAAAATGAGGGAAAACACACACACAAATTCCTGTTTCTTTTGACAAATTTCACTTCCAGAAATTTTGCCAAAGCAAAGGATCAGTGATGCTCAAACTTCCCACAAAGACAGGTATTGTCTCTCAAGAGAAAGTCATGAAGTATAATCTAAGGGTAGGGTTAATTGGAGGATATATAGCAAAATCTTGATTTTCTTTAATAAACTATTACCTAAGTAAACATTATACACACTGCACAAGAGACAGACACCAAATTAAAATATTATTAGCAACTATATTTGCAATTCACAGATTTTCCATGACACACATCACTTGAGCCCACACATGCTGGTTTCCCTTAGAGAAGGGGCCACATGACAGTTCAGATGAGGACTGACCTTTGCTGCCTTTCTGAAGACCACGTTAGCATGCTGAGGAATGCTCACCTCCAAAGAATCCCTTTTTTAAAATGGAAATAAACATGTTATGCTAATGTGAAAACTAACAGTCATCCAGGATGTCAATCTAAACAAAACTAAGTTCTTACTAAAACACACTGTTTACATAAATACAGAGCATTACAATGATGTGTTTTAGAAAATTCACATATAAATACAAACCAAATTTTCTCATTTCCTTTTTTTTTTTTGTTTTTGTTTTTTTTGTTTTTGGTGGTGGTAATATTGGGATTTGAATTCAAGGACCCTGAACTTGCTAAGTGGGTACTCTACCATCATGCCCCCAGCCCTTTTTGCTTTCATTATATTTCAGACAACTCTCCAGTTTTTTCCTGGGGTTAGCCTCAAACTGTAATTACCTATGCTTTCTAATAGCTGAGATTACAGATACAAACAACCATGTCACCCTGTTGCTTACAACAGGGTTTCGTTCATTTTTGCTGGGACTACCCTCAAACCACAGTCCGAGTTTCTACCTCAGAAATAGCTAGAATTGCAGGCATGAGTCAACATGCCTATTTTAACTTTAATTGAGCTTATAATTAATTGAGTTCACCAATTCTTCTAACAATACTTGGATCAATTAAAGAGTTGAGTTTATATGACTAAATGGCCACATTAGAAATAGAAAATTATACTCGGGTGCCAGTAGCTACTCAGGAGGCTAAAATCTGAGGATCGCAGTTCAAAGCCAGCCTGATCAGGAAAGTTCATGAAACTCTTATGTTCAGTTAACCACCAAAAAACCAGAAATGGAGCTGTGGCTTAAGTGATAGAGCACTACTGTTAAGCAAGAAAGCTCAGATACAGGACTCAGGCCTTGAGTTCAAGTCCCAAGACTGGTATAAACACACACACACACACACACACACACACAAGGATAAACACACACACACACACACACACACCAAAATTCATGCTTTGCTAGTTATACTGAATATTCAATGTACAATGTACCTTAGCAAGAGCAGCACTCCCGCTTTCCCCAGGAGACGCCATGCAACCCACTCAGCGGTTCTCCTGTCAGCTTCATATGTAGCCTGTTGACTGACAATAAACACCAGTGGTAATCCCAGCTGGAGATGAAGAGTTGAAACTTGTTGAGGATCTTCAGCAACTTCAGTCTTCATTTAGAAAAAAGAATATAATGTGGTCATTGTGTGATAACAATGTTCCAACATTTGGACCTAAGACTTCCAAAGGCAATGTGAAATAAATCCAGCATTACTAAAAATGTTATAATTTACTAACCTTAATTATTCCAATGTAGTCATATAGTTTAAGTATCCCCAAACTAACATCTTATAAAGAATTAAACATAAAATTACAACCATAAAATGTCATGAGTGATGGCACACTCTTATAATCCCAGGAGGTGGAGATTAGGAGGATCAAAATTCAAGGCCAGCACAAGTAAAAAAAAAAAAAATTAGCAAGACTTCCATTTCAACCCATAGCTGAGTATGGTAGTTTCCAACTGTAACCTCAGCCATGTGGGAGGCATAGGGTCATATAAGGCCCATAGTAAAACTGTACCCTGAAAAATAAGTAAAAGGAAAGAAGGGAAAGAAAGAAAGGGAAAAATAGGAAGGAAAAAAAGAGAGAGAGAAAAGAGATGATAGAGCATCTGCCTAGCAAGTATAAGACCCTGAGCTCCAACCTAAATATCATAAAAACATTACAAACATAATAGACAGGCATAAGGAAACAATAACAAATTAATGTGGCATTAACAGAGGTAAATATGTCAAAGGAAACAGGATAGCTAAAGAATAAATTTTTCATATAAAAGCATAATATATAACAAATGACACAATCTCAGAACAATGAAGACTATAGGAGTAGCATATGGAATACACATAGCTATTTCAGTCCCTCCAGAAATTGCAGAAAAGATACAAGAGAGGATAGGATTTTTTTACAAAGATAAATGCACAATTGGGAAGGAGAGAAGAGAAAGCAGGAGACAAAAGAAGGCAAAGAGGGAGGCAGGGAGGGGAGGAAGGGAGGAGGCAGGAAAGGGAGGAGGACAGGGAAAAAGGTAGGCAGGGAGGGAAAGAATCCCAAATACCACTGGGGCTGAGGCCAGAAAATGACAAGTTCAAAACTAGACTAAGGAGAAGGAAGAGAAACAAAATTAATAGGATCTTTGATTTTTATGGTTGGGGGATGGAGGTCTTTCTATGTAGACCCCATCCAAGTCTTGTGTTTTTTGTTGTTGTTGTTGTTGTTATTGGTTGTGAGACTTGAACTCTGGGCCTGGGTGCTGTCCCTGACTTCTTCAGCTCAAGGCAAGTGCTTTACCACTTCAGCCACAGCACCACTTCCGGTTTTCTGGTAGTTAACTGGAGATAAGAGTCTCAGGGACTTTCCTCCTTGGGCTGGCCTCGAACCATGATCCTCAGATCTCAACCTCTTGAGTTGCTTAGGATTATATGTGTGAGCTACCAGTGATCAGCCTCGTCTCAATTTTTGATTCTCTACCTTAGCCTCTTCAGTGCTGGATGACAGGCATGAACTACCATACCAGCTGTATTGTTGGCATTTTCCCATACTATGCTTAATTGAATACCAAATTATGACATCTCCCAAGTTTTAATCTCTCAGTTTCAAAACTAACATTACAAATTACTAATTCCTGGTAAGTATCATAAAATAAAATAGAGATGATCACAGAATCACCTTCCTCAACATCAATCTTAAAAAGTAGTTTTAAAACTCAGAGAAAGAAAATTCATGAGGAAAGACTTTAGGAAATGAGTACAATTTCCAGGAAGAATGTTGTTGCAAGAAAAGAAAAACAAAATAAAATAAACTAACAAAACTCACAAGGCTTTTAGTAAGCTTGGAATGAAACACAATCCTGCCTCTTATTAGTGTGCAGAGAAAATCGTCAGAATTCTCAATAATCCTGAGTATTCTGAGAGAAGGGAATGAGGCAGAGAAAATGGTGAAAAACTGTACAGTGAACTGTACAAGTGAGCTGCAAACCAAGCTCAGGAGGTGTCTTTCCCTGAGAAGCAAATGCATCCCCTCCACTGTAGAAGAAAAGGAAAAGGGCTTATATACTGCTTTCTCTAAAAAAAAAAAAAATTCCTAGCAGTCAAGATCAAATAAAAAATGTTACTTAAAATAAAGAACAAGGAAATGAAGCCAAGAACCTGTGGCTGTCAAACAATGACTCTACTTAAATAAAGAAGGCAGACTTTTTAAAAGGGAAAAATTATGGGTACAGAATATAAGTACTACTGACTTTAATGCTATAAAAATTACATATACTAAAACTATCAGAGAGGCTCAAAGATGAAAATAAATGTATGAAGTTAATTCTCTCATCTTTGAAACATGACTGTTTTACCTAAAATGGAGTTTACAAAAAAAATTCAGCTTTTAAATGTTTTTCCTATGCATTTTCAACACTTCAGACAATATTTCTTAAAGGGCCCTTCGTATGATGAAGCATTCATGAAAAGCACCACAATTCCTCTAGATCTCAGTTTCTTTCTCTTTGTTAAACGCCAACAGGGTTAAAGATACCACATCTTTTTTTCTTTTTCTTTTTTTCTTTTTTTGGTCATGGGGCTTGAACTCTGGGCCTGGGTGCTGTCCCTCAGCTCTTCAGCTCAAGGCAAGTGTTCTACCACTTGAGCCATAGCACCACTTCCAAGATACCACATCTTATTATAAAACAACTTTTAATCTGAACTATCTCTGTGTACAGAGATGACTGATATGTGTCATCTAAAATTCATTCCTCTGTGAAGACACTGGGTGACTTTTCTTTATACTAAACTACACTGCTTAGATTATTTCTGTATAATTCACATGCACCATTACACATATACACATATACATTATGCATATACATGAACTGGGTGAGAAGATATACTGAAGGTTTTACAAACACCCAGAACAACTCTTTACACTTCAGAGAGTAAGCCCCCATCACCCAGTAAGACTCTACTAGACTCTCCGAAGCTAATGCTAAGAGAGTGGGCACAGTGCAAACAATGATTGAAGGGTCCACAAAAGAGGTCTTTTCTTATGATGACCTGGTCTTTCTGACTTGTGAGCTCTCTCCAAGCCCCAGAGTTCATTTGAACTCCCAAAGAATATGTTCACTTCTACAATGTTATATTTAGATATCAACCCAATGACTAATCGAGGCATTAAAACATTAAAAATAAGTCTTTTTACTCTATCATCAATAAAAAAATCCATAAAATGGAAGGAATATGCCCCCAAAAAGGGAAGAGATAAAACTCATAGAAGTAGAATATACCTGTGTGAATCAAATTAAAATAGGCCTCTTACCAACAGAGGTGCTTTCATAGTCTTAACAAACATGTGAATGTTCAGCGTAGTCAGTGGCCGCTCCATTCGTGTTCTTTTACACTGCTGAGCCAGGTCCAGGACAGGTTCACAATGAGAAAAGTAGAGATGTGCGTGTTCGATATTCTCAGAGCTGCAAATTAAAAATTAAAGACTTTCTACTTAAAGTTTATGTGTGATCATTTTACCATCTGAAAAGTTGTAACAACAATCTCTATCACATGCTTTTGAATTATAGTCCTAGTAAGAGGACTCAAAGAGTGTAAAATTAAAATAAATGTGGAAAAATTAGAAAAAGAATGCATGATTCCTTGGGTTTGGCATGGTAGCACATACCTGTAATCCCAGCTACTCAGAAGCCAGAATTTAGCAAGATCTCAGTGTCAGGCCAACTTGGGAAAAATGTTAGCAAGAATCCTGGCAACCAACAAGTTTGCCATAGTTCATTCCTTTAGCTGTGTGGGAAGCCTGGATAGGAGGATTATAATGGGGGAATGGTTTGGGTGAAAATAAAGAACTCTCCAAAACCTAACTAAAACAAAAATGAGCTGAAGATAATGGCTTCACTGGTAGAGCACCTGCCTAGCAAACATGGGGCCATGGTTCAAACCACATACTGAAAACAAAAGGAAGGAAGAAAAGAAAAAGAAAATCAGCCTAACTATTTGAACAAGCCTCATGAGCTGTACAGCACTTCTCTTCCTGACCTCTTTCAGATGGTAGCTTCTAAATTAGGTTCATAGGGAGTCCTATGTGATTTTGTTTTAATAAAAGACTGTCATAGACAATGAGATTATCTTCAAATATAATTGCTTCTACATTTAATTTAAACTCAAAGCTACTTTGAATAAACTTCAGCCCAAACATACCTTAAGGTAAAAACCATGTGACTATTTGTGGGAGTTTGTGTATTTGTATTTGAAATACCACAAAATTTGGCAAAAATGGCTTATAACTAAGTTTTGCCACTCCTTGCAACATGAAAATTCAAAGATAAACTTATAGTGAGGATGAATTTTGCCAAAATTAAAATTGAGGTGCTTTTTTAATCTCCATATGGCATTAGTAGATTCTGGCAAAATAGTACAAATTTTTGTTTTTAAAATGTTTAAATCTTAACATGCATAAACTATTCAAGGTACAGTGATTTCTGATTTTGTTACAAAGAATTCCCATAAAGTCAAGGATTAGAGAATGTCACTTAAAGATTTGTGTAATGCCTAGTATGGGGTCCTGTACTAAACACAAAAGATAAAAATTCATGAGAAAGCTCAAATCCTTGAAGAGCTTAGACTAAAGGACATCCATTTAGTAAACAAATTATAATGTCCCTAATATAAAAGGCTGCAAAGAAGAAAGAAATTTCATTCTGGCCAAGTTGGGTAGGAGAAGGAAGAGCAAGTAGGGAAGGAGAAAGAAGAACATAAAAACCTTCCTTGAATAATGGCTTCTCCAAGAAGACAGGCCTCACTACTCAGGTTCAATGAAAGCATATAACCGCTTAAGGGGAACCTGAGTAGTCACATACTACTACAAGGAAAGGTAAATTTATAGGGTCTCAGTTCAAGTTGGACTATGTATTATAACCTCTGAGATAACAGTCGTGTGGCAAATTCATTTAATCAAGGATCATTTGTTTGCACATAACAGAAACCCAAAAGATGAGAGGTTTACTACTTGTTTAGAAGGAAGAGTATCTCACAGAACACAAGAAAAATTGAAGAACTTTCTTCCCTTCCTACCTCTTCTCCCCCAAATTATTTCACTATGTCAGCTTTTTATGCATTAGCCTCAAGATATTCCAGAACTATAAAACCTCTGGACTTTAAGCAATTATATGTGCTTTGTCACACAGCTAGTCTGTTCTGAAAGGCCAAAAAAGAGTTAGTAAAAACTCAAATTGATCACATTAGCTAGGCATGTTGATACACACCTAACTCCAGCACTTGTGAGAATAAGGCAGGAAGTTCTTCAGTTTGGGGGCATTCTGGGCTACAAAGCAAGTGCCTTGCCAGCCTGAGATACCTGAGACCCTGCCTCAAATCAACGATAGATCGATAGATCGATAGATAGATAGATAGATAGATAGATAGATAGATAGAT